AAGGAGATAAAGAAAATACTTTTGTACAGCTACACGAGGTGTTCATGTTTCAAGCTAAAAGTCCAAAAGTCCAAAAGTTCAAAGTAAAAAGTTACAGTAAGCTAAGGTTAATTTATTAATGAAGAAAGAAGAAAATGTTCGTAAATTCAGTGTAGCCTAGGAGCCCAGTGTGTATAAAGTCTGCAGTAATGCCCGGTAAAGCCCCGGGGCTTCACACTCTCCCACCACTCACTCACTCACAGAGCCGCCCAGAGCCACCTCCAGGCCTGTGGGCTCCATTTGCAGTAAGTGCCCAACACAGGGGAACTACTTTTTATCTTGTATACCTTATTTTTGTGGTATTATTACCTTTTCTGTGTTTAAATAGTCTAGATCCACTAGTACGTGCCAGCACTCAGGGGCACGCTGTGCAGGTTTGGAACCTAGGAGCCCCTCGTTTGTAACCTTGTGCCTGTTGTTAAGTGATGTGGGACTGTAGTTAGATACAGAGCTACAGAGGTGAAAGGAAAGGTATTCTGCACAGCAACCACAGCATGAGCAGAGCCGGTGGGGGGAAACAGCCGATACTTTTCTTTTTAATTAGCTTCATTGATGCACAATTTGCAGATAATAAAATGCACCCATTTGAAGTTAATAGTTTGATGAACTTTAAGAAATGTATACAAACCCATGTGACCACCCTCTCCTGGAGAGCTTCCTTTGAAAAATTAGCACTTCAAGCTGATTTTGTGTTTAGTACATCATAATTTTATTGCAAATTTTTAAATTCAGTATTAAAGCCACAACACTACAGAGGCAGTCAGAGAGAGTATAAAAAGCACAGGCCTGGGAATCGGCTCTAGGCTTCAATCCCTCTCCTCATGCAAGTCAATTTCTCAGAGCTTCAGTTCCTCATCCATAAAGTGGGGATGATAACTAAACCAACTGCACAAGATTGCTGGGACGATCAAAAGAAAGAAAGTTAAGGTTCTAGCAAAATGCTAGAAACACAAAAGGACCTCTAAGTGGTGTTAGCCCCATCACGATCAAACAGGCGTTTGTTGTATACTGGTGTGGACTCGGGGACTTGAGGCATCACAGTGGTCCTAAAGGCTAAAGTGGCAGTTCTGGGTTCCGCTTCCCTATTGGCTCTATTTCACAATTGGTGGTGAAAGCCGCCATGTATTTCATGCTCAGACATAAGCTTTCAGATGGAATGAGTCATTTGAGAATCGATTCTGGAACAAACTGAAAGCGGGACACTTAAAAGCTTCCCCCCTTAGTTGGCCAGTCCTGCTCCCTGGCCTTTAAACAGAGCCTGACCGCCCACGTTTCAGACCAGGGGAAGAAGGGAGACCAGCCTCTAGGAGTCCCCCAGCGGCCCTGTCCCATATGTGTGCTCAACCACCTGCTCCGGCTCCCCGTTCCCCAGGGCAGTGACTCTGTGATCCAGCTCCATCATCAGCCTCGGGTCTGTCTGTTGGTGTCAAGACTCACTTCTTCAATATACCTACCTGTCACCCTCTCCATTCAATTCTGCCAGCAGTCTCAATCATTGCCAACACCTACTGTGTATTATTATCATTATCATTATTGGAGACAAGTCTCACTTTGTCACCCTCTGTAGAGTGCCATGGAGTCATAGCTCATAACAACCTCAAACTCTTGGGCTCAAGCGATTCCCTTGCCTCAGCCTCCCAAGTAGCTGGGACTACAGATGCCCACCACAAGACCCAGGTATTTTCAGACACGGGTCTCTCTCTTGCTCAGGTTGGTCTTGAACTCCTGCCCTCAAGCAATCTACCCACCTCAGCCTCCCAGTACTCTCTCTCAGTACTTTTGAGATGCTCCCTTAGTCGGCCTCAGCTTCCTGGAGACCCCTTGCCCCAACTCCCAGCACACAGGACCCAGGACACAGGAGCAACCATGATACAATTCAAGGGCTACGGGGACAGAGTGCCATCTACCTGAGCAACAAAGAGCTGGAACTCGTCAGGCAGAATCCAGGAGCGAGGGTAGAAGTTGTACTCCTCAGGAAAGAGATTCTGCATGATTCTCACCGCTCTGCTCAGGGTAATTTTACGCACCATCTCCGACATGCCTGGGGAGAAGAGACGCTGTGAGGTTTTAACAGCAGTGGGCCACTAACGATAAAACAGCCATCATTTGGGACTTTTAAAACCACCCACCCCTACACACTCACTTTTTCCAGCAGGATAGGAAAAAAAAAAAGGTATGAGTTGTTCCCCACAGCAGTGATTCATGACTTGGAAAAACCCAGCAAATTAGTGAAACCTTGAGGTGACAGGTGGATGTTTCCTTCTCCTTGTAAAAATGAAGCATCGGTTTGAAAGAATGAATTTTTCACCTTGTTTATTATTCTATTCTTTGTCATCCCCCTTGGGTAATGAATACAGACGCATTTATATCTTGAACTTGAAACTTAATACACTCTTGAATTTGGGGCCACCGTACATACTGCTGGGCTTCCTTCTGTCTTGTACCCTAGAGAATGTTATCTAGTGGACTCTGGCTACATTCTGAGAAGCTTAATTAAGTTGCTTTGTTTTAATCTGTCATGAGTACTAAAGGTATAAAACAGAAAAAAACACATCTTTCAGCATAAAATCTGTCTCCTTGAATCAAGGACAGGAAGTTGGAAGGATACCATAACATAATTTATAGTTTAAGAGAAAAAAAAATGCAATCTATAGGAGTTTTTCAGTTTGCAGGACTGACAATGGCATTGATCATATCTCATTAATCTGACCACAGGGGATTGAAATGTCTCACTTTTATAAAACATTGTGAAAGAATGGTGGATTTTTTTTCTTGTGATATTCTTAGTAACTCTGAGTAGAAGAGAGACTGAATACCATATATCTTAGCAAATTTTAAGCAAATAGGTAAAAAATTATTGTAAATTTTAACATGCTTATACCTTTAGACAAATATCACTGCTAAAAATGTTGATACAAAATGGACTTCACCCTGAAAGACACTAACCAGTTGCATTACTGACACTAGAAATTTGCTTAGCAAAGCTATTTTTTGTTTGTTTGTTTGTTTTTGTTTAGCAGGCCCAGACCCAGTTCGAACCCACCACCCCTGGAGCAAGTGGCCAGTGCCCTGACCACTGAGCTATGGACGCCCAGCCAGCAAAGCTATTTTTTTTTTTTTTTAGAGACAGAGTCTCACTTTGTTGCCCTCGGTAGAGTGCTGTGGCATCACAGCTCACAGCAACCTCTAGCTCTTGGGCTTAGGCGATTCTTTTGCCTCAGCCTCCCAAGTAGCTGGGACTACAGGCGCCTACTACAATTCTCGGCTATCTTTTTGTTGCAGTTTGGCCAGGGCCAGGTTTGAACCCGCCACCCTCAGTATATGGGGCCAGCGCCCTACTCACTGAGCCACAGGTGCCGCCCAGCAGCAAAGCTATTTTTAATAGAAAATACAAAGTTTCCACATCATCTTGGCATGTCCAAATTATCACACTTTCCAAATGAGCACAGTGAGGATGAATGAGGTTTCTCTAAACTCCCACGTTCAGGGAGTAAAGGGTAAAAATATCTGAGAAGGAAAGTTTTAAAACCAACTTTGTGCTTCCCTCAGCATATTAGAAAGAAATAAATCGAAAGGTCCCAGCTTCAAGATGTCAATGCCCAGGTCTTAGTTGTTGTTTGGAAGGATACAGGGAAGGATTAAGTAAGAAATAAAGGAGCTTAAAAAGCACTAATAAACTGTGCTCTACTGTGGAATCTTCAATATTAAAGAAACCCACTGAGGACACTGCTCTGAGCTTCCCCAAAAACGAGGCTGGAAAACCACAACTATATCTTTTTATTCCACCACAAAGTAAGAATTTTTGAGTTATAAATGCTAGAGATAAATATAAAGTAAAAAAAAAACAAACCCAAAATGTTCACTGTTTTGAATTGTTTTACTTGTACTTGACTAAATTTTAGTTACAGTATTATGCCGGAAGCCATCATCGCTAACTGTAACACAGCACCGTAGTCCACGTTAATGATGCCTCCTGGCCAGTGTGTGGCATTTTCTGCATGTTCATGGTGCTGTGCCAGGGACAGGTTTTCTTTCAGGAATCCCTCAGCAGGTCAGAAGGACCCACACAAGACAGAGGAAGACCTGGGAATGCACAGGGCAGTTTGAATGCTTCAGAAGTTTTGTGAAAATCGATATCTAACAAATTGAGCGAATATTCATTTTACATTCATAACGGCTCTATTTGTCCCCACCAGCTAATAGATCTGTTGCCAAGTTTAACTTTGTGTCTCCAGGCAGCTCTCTATTAAAAACGGTCAAGCTGAGCAGCACCTCTACAAGCCAATGCCACTTTTCCCCAGACGCTTCTGGCACGCAGGCCGTGGGCCGCCCACTGTTAGGGCCAGGCCTGCCTGACCGTCTTTCTCCAGGAGGCGCCAGTGTAGACCTCTCTCCATCCACTTTCCACCCAAACCTCTGTTCCTCCTCCATGTCTAAGCTGTCTTCCCAACCAGTGCTGCCAGAGAGTCTCTGGCCCCCGGTGGAAACTGCTGACTTCCCTGCCTGGAGAGGAAGCTCAGAAACAGGTGGGGGGGCATGGCATCCTCCCTCACCGTGACCTTGATGAGGGTAGCTGGGTTTCTGGCTGAGCCAAGACCATATTCCCAGAGTAAATATGTGAAAGGGAGGTTACGGCCAGTCCTGCTGACCCCAGGCCCAGCTGGCTTCAGACTCTGGCTTCCTTCCTGAAGATACTGAGCACCTGACCAGGGCCTGGGACTCCCTCTGCTGGTGCCACCAATCCTTTATGCTCTATGCTTCCGAAGGCTGGAGTCCTATCTGTGACTTCAGCCGGTGTCTGGGGTCCTGCTACCCACTAACAGTTTCTTTGGAGGCTGAGTGCCTGCTTGGTTTTCTCAATAAGGTCTATCCCTAGATTTCCCTGTGGTGACAGTTCCCCTATTGACTGGGAAAACCCTCTGAACTTGGGTGGCAGCTTCTGGCACCAAGGGCTTCCCTCCTGTCACTCCTTCTGATGGCTCATCTGTCTGCTACACTTGAGTCTCAGGCCTGTGGCTTTCCATTGATGTTAACCGGAGCTAACAGTCCCCTCCTGAGGCTTGCCCACACCTCTTTAACCCAATTAAAACAAGACAAAACAAAACCAAGCTATTATCTGGAGCACTATTTGATCCAAATACCATTTATAACAATAATTCTTGGCAAAACCAGATCACAACCACCAAATAACAAACACTTTCAGATCCATCCTATTTTCTCTAGTCCCATCGCCACTGATCTGTCCACCTCTTATGCAGACACAGCACCAACCTCTTAGCTGTATTGCAGTTCCTCTCTCCAACTTTCCATCTACTTCCAACATAGCCCTCAGGCCAATCTTCCTAAACTAGCCCATGTCACTCTCTGGCTTAAAAATCCCTCAGCAGCTCCATGGCCTACAGGTTCTAACGATGCTGTGTTCAGGTTGCTGCCCGTCCCTCTCCACTGTCTCACACACCTTGGCCCATTCTAACCATCAATGAGCCACTTGCCCTTTCCTCAATGAGCAGCATGCTTCATGCCTTCTGGGTCTTGGCACTACCTCTGCTCCATTGTTTGGCACAGAGATCAGGCCCGTCCATCCTAATCACCACCCTCTTCTCCAAGGTCTCTCCCCTGCCTGCTCCCCAGGCAAATCTACAGGTTACATGGCCCCCACAGTGCTCCCACCTCCCTTTAGTGTAGCACTTATGCTGTATTTTATTTCCCCCTTTACATTCCTTTCTCCCTGACTTTTATCCCCAAAGCCCAGACCAATGCTTCACAGGTGGCCACCTCCCCAGAGAGCCTCACTGAAGCTCCCTCCCCCTCTGCCATAAAGCCTTGGGTTCCATACACCATACATCTCAGACCCTGAACCTCAGCAAAAAAACTTGTGTGTAAGCTGAGAAGGGATGGTTCTGGACTTTCTCAAAGCAAAGCCATATCTAAGTCAGATTATTTTTATAGAAAGTCTTAATTTATCAGTTAAGATATAATAAAGTGTTTTGAACAAGGAAATTGCCCATAGAAAATCAACTAAAATCTAATGTACTGATACAACAAAATTAATTACTCCCATCAGCATATATCCAAATGTTTTCAGTTTATTCTGCATGTAAAGTGTTTATCCTCACCTGGCGTACCTACTAGAACCTACTGGAAGTAATAAATGAAACATTATTTTAGAATAATGGGATGTATAGATGAGGGACAGAGTTAAGTGTGGGCACAAACTGGAGCCCCCCCACTGCTGACAATTACTACCTTTCACAGGGCAGAGGCTGGGGCAGCACCATTCCTTGGCTACAGGTTTGAAAGCCACCTTTGTCACAGAAGTTAATTAATCGCTCTTAGTAAGGTGGAAAATTATATGTTCTAATCACTGACAGGTGGACTATGGGATGGAGAAAACTGGTCCTTTAAGGACACTTCTTTGTATGTCTCTATTTCTTCCAAATGTAGGTCCATTGCTACTTCTTTCCCACTCTCCGCCATGGGGCAAGGCACGAGCAAATGGGGAAAATGCAAACGAAGCCTCACGTGATGATCCATGTCTTAAGAACCCTGTTCTCATGGGAAGGGCTGTCCTCTGCCAAACTGTTCTCCCAATATCCCTGTAAGTCATTTTGGTGGTATCAAAAGTATCCTTTTCTGCTCAGCAAGAGAGAGAAAATAGTAACTATCCCGTTAAACTGGTGTGCAAGAACTCTGGCTGTAGGAGTCAGTCTTGTTCTGTAACAAAATCCCTTTTCCTTCTCTAAGGACACATTTGACCTTGGGTTACCTTTCTATTGCTGTTCGCTTGGGTTAACTTTCTATCTATTTCCCCTGGAAACCAATAAAAATTTGGAATACTAACTGTAGTATGAGACAACAAAGCATGTGTTGAAATGATCCCTGATTGGTAAATTGCCTACATACCTGGCAGGAAGCCACCGCTCTAGGCTTTCCTGAGCGTGGTGATTCTTGTAACTTAACCTAACCCTTGCAGGGACCCGGGAAGCCATGGTGTGGAGTAGGGGTAAGACACACTGGCTCCTGTGGGGCATCTAAGCCAAGACAGAGTCACATCCCCCAGGGTCTCCTGGCACTTGAACTTTCACTAGAGGAGCCAGAGACTAGGCCCTGGGATCCTTACCAATACTCCACTGAAGAGAAATGCTTGACACTGGCCACCAAGCCGTGTTTCCTGCCCTGAGTTGAGTGTGGCCTATGGCAGTGACTGTGTAAGTCTGCAGACTTAGGTGAAAACTCCCCATGGATGTGGCATAAATGGCCACGTATAATGTACACACATTGGGTTTCTGCAAGGTGTTGTCTTAAAGGATAGAATGGCAAAGAAAAAGAATAGATTGATTCTCTCTTTGAAGTAAGCAGAAATGATATAATACTAACAGAAAATACCTTCTATTCAGGCAACTATATTCTGATTGCAACCACGCAAAAAACAATAACTAAACATGCTGAAAATTTGGGAGGGAATGTAGAAATATTCACATTGTTATTTTGTTAAACGAGGGATAAGATTCCAGGTGACACTCTTGAAAAAAAGTTTTATTATAGTATTGTAATAAAGTTTGGGCAATAAACATTTTTTGCAGTAAGTGGAAGATTGCTGGGCTGTATCATACCCAGCCTAATCTCAATGCTCCCTCTCCCTAAACAGTCCCAGCATCCTGAGCCACCTTCTTCATTCAGCCATGAAACATAACCAAGAATAGTTATCACAGCAGAAGAAGGTGGTGGAGATTAAAAAGCAAAATAAAAAGGGATATCAGAAGGCTGGGAGTGGAGTGAGGAGGCTGTCTTAACGTGTTGGCTATGACATTTTTCTGGCACTGAGAGTGCTCCTCGTAGGGTAAGTCTCACTAGGCTAATGTCATCAGGTAAGAGGCAGAAGCTGCCTGCAGCCTACAGTACTTAGTATGAAGATGGTGTATTCTGTTTTTAAAAATGGTACCTAATACCAGATCTCTAATGTGATACTTAGAGAAAAGGACCCTGAAACCCCATTTCTGTACCATAGCCCTAGAATTTTAGTGCTGTTTTTTTCCTGTGAATTAAATGTTCTCTATTTTTTTCATTTTTGAGAATACAGTCCCCTCATTAGACCACCATATGCTATCTATAACCCGAAAAGTGGAACTCCTGTTCTTCCAACAGCGGAATTAGACCAAGAAAGCCTGACTTTAAATCTCTAAAGGCCTGTCTCGAATCCTGAAACCCTTAGTGGTTTCGGTCCTGATTATCTCGGCACTGGCTTCCCTCCCAAGGAGACAGCACAGCACGGGAGGAAGCAGCAGTTCCCAATTAAGAGTCCTCAAGTTTGATCTCAAAACACTGTCATGTTTTTGTAGAAAAGTGTACCTGAGACCCGACCCTGGAAGCATTTTTAAATGCCAGCAATCACAGCACATACCTGGAAACTTGTTCACTTGACCGGAGAATATGTCATTGTCGTGAAAAGAAACTCCGTGCCAGTAGATGTCACAAGGCAAGCGCCGGCCAAATGGGAACTAGGAGAAAAAAATGTGATGAATAACAAGAGGAACAATGGCACACCGAGTGTCTGTTACGCAGAAATTCCTGACGCTCTGGCGACCATCACATAATTTAATCCTCGTATAAGCGTGTGAGATGCTTATATGTGAGGTGGTGTTCTCTCCCATTTTATAGATGAAAAGACAAGTGCAGGTTTCTGTTTAAAACATTTAACACGTTTGAGAATTTGCTCTGAGTGGCAGAGCTTTGATTCCATAGTAGACTCCGTACTGCTACTGGCTTTACGGGCACCAGGCCACTTAATCCTCAAACTACACTATAAAGGATTATTCTCATTACTGAGTCAAAACTTGGGACTGAGAAAGGTAATTTAACATGTTCAAGGTCAGGAGTTCAGTAGGTAGGGCATCAGCCACATACACCGAGGCTGGCAGGTTCAAACCCAGCCTGGGCCAGCTAAACAATAGTGACAACTACAACAAAAAAATAGCAGGGTGTTGTGGTGGGCACCTGTAGTCCCAGCTACTTGGGAGGCTGAGACAAAAGAATTGCTAAAGCCCAAGAGTTTGAGGTTGCTGTGAGCTGTGATGCCACAACACTCTACCCAGGGTGACAGCTTGAGACTCTGTCTCAAACAAACAAACAAATAAAAACATGCTCAAGGTCAAGAACTGGTAAGGGGAAGAATCAGGATTTGAATTCAGCTCTACCCAAAGTCCAAGCCCATACATCCCTTTCTCTGAAAATTGCAACCCTCAACCCAGGCCCATAAGAATAAGCTTTCAGAGTCCTTTTCCCTCTCTGTCCTCCTCTCTTCCCATCTCTGTCTCTCTCTGTCTGTCTCTATCTTTCTCTCTCTCTCCTCCTTCTATTCTCTCTCTCTCTCTCTCTCTCTCTCACACACACACACACACACACACACACACACAGGCTCCATGGGAGGATGTATCCCCAGTGCCTAAAATAATTCAATAAAGACATTTTGAATTAATAAATAAACAAATCTTTATATGAAAGCTATAACCTAATAACAGCCTAAGAATATGGGGAGGGGAGAGGGAGAGGGGATGGGGAAATGGGTAGAGGGAGGGGGATTGGAGGGACTTCTGAGGTTTATCTTACAAGGGTACAAGTGAATCTTTCTAAGAGTTGAATGTGAACGTTTTAAAATAATCCCTAAGAAAATGACATGAAGGCTATGTTAACTAGTTTGATGAAAGTGTTTCGGATTGTGTGTGAAAACCCCACACTGTACCCCAGAAGTGCATTAATGTACATAGTTACCATTCAATAAAAAAAAAAAAAGAACAAATCAGGAGTGGTTATCTGACTCCAGATGAGATAACCAGATTTTCTCTCCCAGGAATTTTGGAATCACAGATGCCAGGTGGCCTCTGCTGGCCCTTGAACTGGAAATGATAAAAAGCCAGAACAAGGGAGCTGTGCTGGGCCGTGGGCTGGGAGAGCAGAGGCAACCAGTCTGTGAAAGAGAGAAAAGGAGCACATGGGGAGAGAAAAGCAGAGCCAGGACCAAAACCCTGGAAACAAACTGAGCAGCCTCAGACCCCCAGAGGGCCAGTTGCCTCTCCTGCTCATGGATCCTGTAAGATAATCTCATATCCTGAGAATACCTTTTTCATATTCTAAAATCCTCTTTGGCACAGCTATAGGGTTTCAGTTATTTGCAGCTAAAAAATCCCTTAATGAGACAAAAGGACCTGTTCTGTCCACTCTAACACACTGCCTCTCAAAGTTATCAACAAGTTCTGCACTTACAGAACCTAGTTTTAAAATCTGTAACTTAGATGACCTTGTTAAAGACAAAAAAATGAGGACATGTTAGTTTATATTCAGAACTGGATCATTAAAGTCCAAAGGAATAAAATGCCTACACGTTAAATAAAAATTACTTGATTTTCCCATTCTAAGATTATAGGTAATTAGAATCTTCACCTACTCTGATTTGAGGGGGCTACGGTCCATCGGAAGGGCGTAGCATTCACTAATGAACTGGCGGTGACTCATGCTTTCCAACCATTCCAGATTAAAATGAAGGCAAACAGACTCACGCCCTTTAAATCAGTCACATTCTTCCAAGCTGTGCCAAAGGGAAGCGTATGTTGCACTCTCTTTGCGTTAACAATCTCCATCTATAATTTATAGCATTCCACTCATTTTCTTTGCGTCCAATGGGCTGTAAGTTATTAATTCAGTAGTCATAAATACAAATAGATACAACGTATGTTATTTTCTTCTAGCTGTCAAGTGGTATTATAAAGAAGGGAGAAATGCCTTAACCAGAGAGGTTTCTCTAAAGACCACACTATTCAAGCAAAGCATACTAAGATCAAAGTGGCTTTGTGGTCCAAAATGAGCCACCAACACCTGTTCCTTGTCCGTGGACAACCCTATGACTCTCATCATCACTTCAGTCCGCACCACCCTCATGAATACCAAATCACCCTCCCTTCAAAAGCACGCTTAGCTTGTTCAATTTTAAGAAACTACCATTTTAAAAAATCTATCCATGTATTCAATAACCATTGTTTGCCAGACACTGTGCTCAATGCTGGAAATACAGAGCAACACAATTTTAAATGGGTCCCAGGATTTTATAATCCTACCACTTTCTAAACTTTTAAAAACTGCTCATGCAGCTAACGTCATACTCAGTGGCAAAATACTGAAAGCTTTTCTTCTAAGACAAGGATGCTCACTTTTACCACTTCTATTTAATATAGTTATTAGAATTCTAGCCAGACCAGCTCAGTGCCCATAGCTCAGTGAATAGGGTGCCAGCCACATACACCGAAGGTGGTGGGTTTGAGCCTGGCCCGGGCCTGCTAAACAATAATGACAACTGCAATCAAAAAATAGCCAGGTGTTGTGGCGGGCACCTGTAGTCCCAGCTACTCAGGAGGCTGAGGCAAGAGAATCGTTAAAGCCCAAGAGTTTGAGGTTGCTGTGAGTTATGATGCCATGACACTCTACCAAGAGTGACATAGTGAGACTCTGTCTCAAAAAAAAAAAAAGAAAAGAGAAGAAAAAGAAATTCTAGCCAGACCAATGGGCATGAGAAAGAAATAAAAGGCATCCACATTAGTAAAGAAGTAAAATTATCTGTTTATAGATGATATAATCCTATATAGAGAAAACTCTAAAAATTCCACCAAAAAATGTTAAAAACAGTAGACAAATTCAGCAAAATTTCAAGTTATAACATCAACACATAAAAATCCATTGTGCATCTATACACTGACAATGAACAAGCCACAAAGGAAATTAATAAAACAATTTCATTTAAAATAGCAGCAAAAAAATAAAATACTCAGGAATTAACCAAGGAGGTAAAAGATTTGTACACTGAAAATCACAAACTATTTCTGGAAGAAATTAAAGACATAAATAAGTGGAAAGACATTCTGTGTTTATAGATTAGAAGAATTAATATTGTTAAGACGTCAAAACGATACAAAGTGATCTACAGATTCGATGAAGTTTCTGCCAACATACCAATGACTTTTTTCTCAGAAATAGAAAAATATTCTTAAATTCATATGGAATTACAAGGGACTCCAACCAGCCAAAACAATCTTGAAAAAGAACAAAGTTGTAGGTCTCACTCTTCTTGATGTCAAAACTTGTAACAAAGCTACAGTAATCAAACAACGTGTGAGACAACATTGAAATAACCCCACACACTTCTTAGGACAGCCAAAACCCAAAACACTAACACCACCACGTGCTAGCAAAGACACGGAGCAACGGAAATTCTCATTCATTTCTGATGGAAATGCAAAATGGAACAGCTGCTTTGGAAGAAGTTTGAGCAGTTTCTTACAAAACTAAACATATTCTTACCATATGATTCAGCAATTAGCTCTCCTTGGTATTTACCTAGATAAACTGAAAACTTAGGTCCAGGCCAGGCAAGGTGGCTGATACCTATAATCCTAGCACTCTGGAAGGCTGAGATGGGTAGGTTGCTACCCAGGAGTTCGAGACCAGCCTGAGCAGGAGTGAAACCCGGTCTCTACTAAAAGTAGCCAGACATTGTGGTGGGTACCTGTAGCCCCAGCTACTTGGGTGGCCGAGACAAAAGGATCACTTGAGCCCAGGAGATGGAGTTAAATCGAATCTGTAGATCACTTTGGATAGTTTTTTTTTTTTTTAAAAAAAAACCCCAAACCGTCCTCCTGGGTAGAGTGCCATAGCATCACAGCTCACAGCAACCTCCAACTCCTGGGCTCAAGCGAGTCTCCTGCTTCAGCTTCCCAAGTAGCTGGGACCACAGGCACCCGCCACAACACCCGGCTATTTTTTGGTTGCAGCTGTCATTGTTGTTTGGCGGGCCCGGGCTGGATTCAAACCCGCCACCTTAGGTGTATGTGGCTGGTGCCTTAGCCACTTGAGCCACAGGTGCTGAGCCTAGTTTTGACATCTTAATATTAATTCTTCTAATCTATGAACACAGGTTGCTGTGAGCTATGACACCATGGCACTCTACTGAGGGCAACATAGTGAAACTCTGTCTCAAAAAAAGAAAAAAGAAACTTTGGTCCACACAAAAATCTGTACATGAATGTTTATAGCAGCTGTATTCATAACTGCTGAATCTTAGAGAAAGCCAAAAAGTCCTTCAGGATGTGAATGAATAAATAAACTATGGCACATCCAGACAACGAAATATTATTCAGTGCAAAAAAGAAATTAGCTGTCATCCCACAGAAAGACATGGAGGGAACTTCAAAGCATATTACTAAATGGAAGAAGCTAGTCTGGAAAGCCTACATGCTGTAGGACTCCAACTATACGACATTCTGGAAAAGGCAAAACTATGGAGACAGTAAAAAGGGGGCCCAGAGGGGAGAGATGAACAGCAGAGCACAGAGGATTCTGGAGCAGTGAAACTGCCCTGCATGATACTGTAATGGCAGACACATGTCACTGCATGCTTTTAAAAACCCAGAGAACATGCAGCACCAAGAGTGAACTCTAATGTAAACTATGGACT